ACAGATACAATACTGCCCTTAGAAAGCTTATATGTTGGCGGTGCTTATATTTTGTTTCTCTGCTGCTCTTCCCTCTTCCTACCCTCCCTGTTAATTAATAATTTATCTGGTTTGCATGCAGGGTGTCACTGTTCTCATTTTAGTTGAAAATCAGGACCTCACTAATGTAGAAAACTACCATCAGACTAGAAATGAGAGTCCAGATTAATAAACAAACATTGGTGTGTGTGGAGAAGAGAGAGAAATAGAAAAGAGAAGAGAAGAGAAGAGAAGAGAAGAGAAGAGAAGAGAAGAGAAGAGAAGAGAAGAGAAGAGAAGAGAAGAGGACTTTTCCTATAAATTCCAGAATAATAGACCCTTAGGCACTAAAGGTGCTAGGAGGACATATAATCAGTGATTCTCAACTCAGGCTGCATGTTCTCATACCTGGGTAATTTCTGAGGCTCCAACCCCACACTAATTAAACCAGCATCTTGGAAGTGGGCATGGGCATGGGCAGTTTTTAAAACCCAGGTATATTCTAAAGTACAGCCAAGGTTTAAAGACTCCTGATTTGGTCCTACCTCTTTTCATATGGATAGACAAACTAAAAACCATTTAGGGAGAAATTATTTCTCTCAGGCCATTGGAAAGCCTGGGTTTTGCTATGGGCATGTTTTTTCAGGTCTTTACAAAAACTGATCATTAAAACATGAATTTCTCTATTCTTTGTACTATGGTGATAATTAGTACAAATCATACACAATTTACATAACACCCACTTATAAACATAGACACACAATTCAACTATCTAATTAGGTAACTAAGTCCTTATTGGAGACTTGTCATAGTTTGAAAAATTGTGTAAATGAATATAGTTCTCTTTATAATTCATAGCATATCTTTGTACTTAATGAGGTTTTTCTTAGTTAAATCTTTATTCCCAACTACTTTAAACTGTATTTTATTTTATTTTGATTAGTAAGAGTTGAAGGTAGGAGCTATCCCTTCAACATTCTATCCACAGTAGAATGTTTGGCTCGCCAAGGATGCTTAAGGCATGATGATGATCACTACATAGAAAATTTTGCGTGAGTGCGAAAGAGAAAAATGTTTCTAGCTTTTATCTACTATCATTTTCATTTATTTCTGGCACTGGCAAGACAGAAGATTTGCATTACTTCTGAGCACGGGCATGATGCATTTAGATACACTTTCCATCTCTCCACAAGATAAAATATATGCCACATAACAATCGGTACTGCAATTTTATGCTGAATTGAAATATTTTAGACTTTGATGGGTTCAACAGACATACACATACAGAAAAGATAGATGTCAAAGAATGGGAAATGTTTAACTATCTCTATCTTCCACACTGTTGACAATGGGCCCATGTTATCAATGCTGTTTTCTCAGAATGTTTCTCAGGAAATGAGTTACACACACTTTATATGATGACTTTAATAATAGGTCTACTGATGCTAAAATGATATGAGGTATTTTCTTGATTCACATAAAATGACAAGTTATAAATATGTTTCAAAAACTCTTCACAACAAACACTAACTTATTTTGGGTGAAAGGCAAGGTCAACTATCCTGAGAACTGTAGGAAATTCATACATTAATTTATACTACTGCATAGCATCATGTTTACTTTTTCTCAATCTATATGACATAAAAATTTATGAAGCATGATTCCTTCTGTTAATGTTATCAAGGGAAAGTTCAAAGAGTCCAAACTAAACAAAAGATATTAGTACTGGACTGTTATGAAAATTGTTCCAAACTGGGGCTAGGTAAAGTGGCATCTAACCTATAGGTCGATACTCAACCACTGAGCCATGCTGGCTAGGCCATGCTCTTAACTTTAAACATCAATTTTTAAATAAATACAAAAGGTTTGAACTGTACTTACAGAACATAAGTCAATTTTATTAAAAAGAGGCAAAGACAATCTTGTCAATAGATTCAAATATTAACAAAGTGGAAAAAATTGGCAAGTAAAATATACACCTGAAAATCATTTTTCCCCTTGTACAGAAAAGAAGCATGAATAGAGACACAGCATAATAATCTGGCCTTCCACCATGCAGTCAAGCTTATTTTTTACTTATATTAAAGGGAACAAAGTAAACAGTCCTACTTCAGGCTATTCCTTGGAGCTTAAGTACTGAGGGGGAAAAAATAATGACTGTACCCTGGTGGGATTTCTTATTTTGCTTGAAAAGCAGTCGAAGATTAAATCACAAATCACTAGTTGTCTAAAATACCTTTTAAAACTCTAATTATAAAATAGCTTACCCTCTGATTTTTAACACAACTATTAATGGTCATTCTTGAAATGCATTTCCTGTAGTGGGGTTCCTTTTTTTCATTTCTTTCCTTTCCTTTTCTTTATCTTATTAAATTTTAGAAACTTCCGAACAGATTAAATACCCTGAGAAAACTAAGACACATTTATAATGGAACAACAGGTCTATAGAAACCCAATTTCAATGATCTCTTCTATAAATATGCCTTAGGCAAACTTCAACTACTTTTTAAGTAAAAGGTTAAACCTGCTCAAGACGTTTATTCAGGCACAAAATTTGTATTGTCTACTCTTACATGTCCTGGCCTCTTTTCCTTCTAGATTCCTTCAATCATAATTCTCCCATTCTCCAGCTTGGGAAACATCTGGCTATAGTAACACAGTCCAAAGCGGCTGTGAAATGTATCCCTGTGCCCTCCAGGTTTGCCCAGTGCTCTCACAGTCCCACTGCTTCATTGCTTTTAGGCTCCCAGCGTATGTTCTTATTTTAGGCTACTCTAAGAAATACTTCTTTTATTTTGGGTAATGTCAGTATATAGCATAGGCTAAAACTCCATGCCTGCCTTTGACTTTCTGAAGTTGTTCTCGCCCCTTTCAGGTAACTATCCAATAACTAGGGATTAGTTTGTACTTGGGGTAACTATTTTTCAAAATAATCAGTTTCTACTCAAAAAATGTCAACTGTTAATGATTTAAAGTATTGAATTTTTGCTTATATGTTTCAAAGAGAAAAGATTTCTAAAGAGAAATATAAAATATTTGCAAATAGGACAGTAAAAAAACAAACACTGTTTGTTTGTCCTCATAACTCAAGGCCTATCTGAAAATTCTTCATGTCATGCAGAACAGCTCCTGTATAACTAAGTACAAATTCTATAGAATTGTGATCATAAACAAGTTTCCTATTTTTAACTTCCATTTTTTGACAGCATAATAATATATTTCCCCTTGTTTATTTAACCTTATAGGTAAGTGATAACTTACTCTATTGTGAGAGAGAATGAACTTCCGCCTTCAAAAACAAACCAAACTAGAAATGTCAGTATCAGTACATTTGAGTGCCTTTTGGACCCCTACTACGTACATAGCATCCTGCTACAGGGTACAAAGAAATATGATATTTCTTTGCCTTCGGTGGACTTATAAGTAATTCAGAAAATAAAGTATACAGGAAAAATAAAAATACAAAATGGTTTATGTTCAAGAGTTGTTAAAAGGGAATTATACATTCATTTAACAAATATTTATTGAATGCCCACTATGTGCTAAGCATTCTGCTATTTAAAAAATGAGGGATGCCTGGTCAGCATGGCTCAGTGGTTGAGCATCAACCTATGAACCAGGAGGTCACAGTTCCATTCTGGTTAGGGCACAGGCCCGGATTGCAGGCTCGATCCCCAGTGTGGGGCATGCAGGAAGCAGCTGATCAATGATTCTCTCTCATCACTGGCGTTTCTATTTCTTTCCATCTCCCTTTCTCTCTGAAATCAATAGAAATATATTTTAAATGAAGGTACTTAAAAAGAGAAATAGTTGGAGGGGGGTAAAAGGGGTGAGTGGGGGACATCTGTAACACTCTCAATAATAAAATATGTTTTTAAAAAGAGAGAGAAATGGTCACTTTATTCTAGGGAAATGAGCCTGGAAAGGTAGGTAGGGAATAGGGCCCGATCATGACAAAAAGGTAGACTTAAGAACAAAGAGAAGTAGGAATGAATGAAATAGGAGATACACAATAAAAATAAATAAATAAATTACAAAGATTTTTTTGGTTGCCGGTTACAGAAATACCAACCCAAACAGGACTACTCATGTAACCCCATTCTGGTCCATAAACTATAAGAAGAAAGGAACGCTGGGAGAGCGGACATTTGATTTCCATTTCTTTTTTGTGAGACATATCAAAAAAGAAGAAAGTTGAGAATATTTTTTAGGCAGCCAAGCAGTAGGGTCTTCCATAAAAACCTGTTGTTTCACAGTGTACTCTGTGCTTGCATGTGTATGACACTTGCTGTTTTGTGTTTGAATTTGTATTTATCTGTATGTATGTGTTGCTTCTTCTACCATTTAGGAGAATATTTGCATGACTGATCACCAATTTTAAAAATAGGTATTTTATTGTTTTTTTCCATTAGCCAAGTCTGCTTAACTTCTTCAGCAAAGATGCTAGAATTTCGGTTTCTCTGAGTAAGCAACATATTGACTAGAAAGGATATTATTTTCATTTGTGTCTAATTACCTTGGCAAGCCTTACCCATGTGAAAGAAAATATAGCAAAAGTAGCTGATGATTCCATGGGGATTTAGGAAAGGTATTATGTTTTATCTTTTTATGGGGCATGATAGTCTCCTGTAAGAATGTATTTCCAAGAGATCTCATCAACCTTGACTTAGGAATTCAGCACCAAAATGTAGCACCTGCATATCAAAAATAAAATTAGTAATTACATCGCCGGATGCAATGTTTGGGGAAAAAATAGTCAATTAAAGCAATATGAATTCAACCTGAATCTTGTGCAGGCAGCAGCATCGTGTAATTCTGACTTCACAATGACATGAAATTTTAAATGACAACTGCTAAATCAGGCAGCAGCAAGCCCAGGCCAAGTTTAAATTTAGTAACACTACTCGTTTACTGAAAATAACCTCTACAACAGAGACTCTGAATTTCAGGTAACCAACTACTTGTTTTTCTGTTCTGTTCAGAGATAACCAGGTGCCCAGAGGCGTCAGCATTGTCTTCCCTTCTCAATGGCATTTCTGGTGTCCACCTAAGGAGTCTCCTTCTCCAGCTTTGAAACATTCGGAAATTAAACAGAGGACACACTTCATATCTTCTTGAAAATTTCCACCATATATGTTCAGAACTTTCTGAATAAGCATAGGATTTTAAGGTAAGTGATGTTTGGAAGTGACTCACATTCTTATGCAACGCTTAGTTACATCAAAAGTAATATTTAATATATGTTAATAAAATACACAAAAGTGAAAGTTATGAGCTATAAGAAAATAGCTAGCTATGTATAGTTCCATGACAAAAGAGGGAAATAAAATACAAAGTTTAAAAGTTGTTATATGTCATGTACATGTATATACAAGCAAGGCACAGTGGTGATCTTGGTATCTGATCATTGGTTTTGAACAAAGTAGTTATACTATTTTGGTCCTCAAATTTAAATGTGCATAAGAGTCACATGGGGGTAAGGGGAGGCCCTTAACATGCTGACTCCTGGGCACATTTCACAGAGAGATTCACCAGGTCTGGGAGGTAGCCCAGCAATCTGCATTTTTACAGTTACCCACCCCCACATGATCCTGGTGAGGGTGGGTCTGGAGCTTGTGAGAAACAATGAGTTATATTAAATGGGGTTTTATGTTGTTTCTTTCAGTCACAAGAATAAATAAGAAAGGAGTGCTTTTAGCACAGAGGGGCTAAATGAGTGCTTCCTTTATGACCCCTTCAAATTGAATTCTTACTTTTAAAGGTTCACTACAATGAGCTCATTCCCAGGTGTCCCCATTTCTCTCTCAGAGTGACAGTCCTGCCACTGCTCTCTTCTTGTTTCTCTGTTCTCTGTAATGTTGTGATTTATGCAGATGTTTATGGCTATTGATCAAATTCCAAGAAATAACTACACGTTGAAAATAATGAGTTCTTGCCAGGGTTGGGTAAGCATTTCTACATTTTCGAGGGGTTTTTTCCTCTGCATATTGAAAACTCAGCCATAGATTTTAAAGAACAGATCTGCTTAATACATAGTTAGCTACTCTTCCTTTGCAGATAAAAACTTATAAATCAGGTGGTATATTTATAACAGGCTATAGGAACATTTATTGAGTATCACACATTTGTATTTCTGTTTTCTATATCTCATTTAGCATCTCTGTTTTTATTATTTTCAATTTTAAGTTTATAAAATGTTTGCTTTTTTTAATTCCAGTTAAAGAAGGGATTAGTAGGGACATATTCAGATCTTAAATTGTGATGATTCCTTACAACTACAATATGATATTATTTTTATAGTAAAAAGTAAAGTTTTTAATTAAACTCCTTTGATTGAATATCTGGCTTCTAGACATTTTCTTCTCTCTCCTTATCAGTCTTGTTCATACTATGTAGAATTTTTTGTTCATAAAATATCAAAAGGTAAAAGTAAACCCTTAATTTAAAAAAAGTATATTCTTATAGTGCCAGTTAGCTACACATATTAGCTATTCTACAATTTAAAATAAATTAATATAGTCATATGCATAAAATAAGAGAGCACTTTTTCAAGCAATCAAAATTAGAGATTTACATAATTGGGTCAACTATAATAATAAATTTTCACATATATTTGTTGTCAGAATTGTTCTTAACAGTAAGATTGCCATACCTGATAATAAACCCTAAAATATGTACTACACAATATCATAAAATCCTCAAGTATGTAGTACACAGTGTGTGATTCAATTAAGTTTCCAAATTAGACTTAAATTAGTACAAATCTGTATTATTTCAATTTCAGGAAAAACATAGAAGCTTCTGTTCTGTTCTTTCTTTTTTGCTTTTGCTTTTTTTAGTAATCAGTAGATCATCTTCCATGTCATTAATTAAGAAAGGAAAACAGAAAATGTAGGTGTATTTCAGGCTGGGCCAGCTTTTTCTGGAAACCTGATATTGAGGGGGAAATAGGGTTAAAAGTAAGATGCAGCTTCTGAACAGTAGAGCCATCTGGGACCATTCAGTAGGGAGAAAAGAGATTTAAATATGTAAGAACCTCTAGGGAGTATTAGCGTTATTATGAAACTATAATAATGACATTTGTGAGATAGCCTAAAAGATTAAAATGCGTTTATTATTCTCAATTTAAGAAGCTAGGAAGTAATTAAAATTTATGTACAAAAAGTATAATTATTGACATGGGAAATGCTCATAATATACTGTATATGAAAACAAGTTATAAAACCATATTTAAAATGCTACAGAAGCACAGGAAGAAAAATTGAAGGAATAAACACCAAATTATTATTAATGTTTATGCTCCATTGATGAAACTATGGTTGATTTTTATTAGTGTTAAGAGTTTATAAAACTTTTTCTAAAGTATGTATGATTATTATTTTGTTAATCCTCACTTTGGAGGATTTTTTTCCATTGATTTTAGAGAGAGTGGAAGGGAGGAGGGAGGGGGGAGGAGGGAGAGAAGAGAGAGAGAGAAACATCAATGTGAGAGAGCCACATCAATTGGTTACCTCCCCAATGTGCCCCAACCATGGCGGGGAACTTGCAACCCAGGTACATGTCTTTGCCCAAATTGTACCTGAGACCCTTTGGGTCTAGACTCAGTGCTCTAACAACTGAACACACCATCCAGGGTTAAAGTGTGTATTATTAATGTAATTTCAACATATTTTTAAGGGATTAGAAAATATTCAATTATCTGGTTAATTCACTTTTATAGAACTATTACATAGTTTCACTAACAGTTATTTAAAATAGCCTTAAAGCATACTTTTCATCTTAAAGTATTAAACTGATTTGAATATGAGAGTGATAGCTATTATTAGATCAAACTGGTTTTTAGATGTAATTCTTCATTTGTGGGATATTGCAACAGAATAAATTTCTCAAGTTTTGCTCTTTATTAAACACTGGTAATTTCAAATTATGATGATTAATTAGAAATAGTCTTCATTTCTTGCATCAGATAATACCAATATGCTTTCAAGAGTTTTCTAACTATAACAGTTTGCTCCATTTGGAGGATGATTTTGTATGTTTGGTTACATTAGTGTTAATATGTCTTTGTTCTTTAAATCTCCAGTGCACATACGGTTAGTCTCACCATTATTACTACCAGCTGCGGTTGGGCTATGAATTTGTTCATTCTGTCTGAATCCAAAGTAATTAGCTCTTTAGTTTAATGACAATATTTGTTAATGGGTTTTTAGGGCCAAATTCTGTTGTTAGAGAGTGGGTGGTGCATTTGAAGACAGAATCTGGCCCTTATGTTTTAAGCATAAGCTGTGTAATTTGATTTCAAAATGTTGGTTTAGGGAGTTTGGAGTAGGAAAACTAACTCTACATTTATTTGAAGTTTCCCAGTTTCAGGAAACAGAAAATGAAAGTGACAATATATGTAACTGAACAACAAAACCACTGAAAGTTCTCTGGTACAGCTATCCTGCATGTGTCATTCCCTACATATTTGGAATAAGAAATGAAATGATAATTTTCAAGCAGACATTAGATGAATTATCCTATGTGACAGGGAATAAACATTTGATCATTACATTTTTTCCATTGTTAGTGAAATATAACGGAAATATAACTTTGTGAATGTTTAAAGTATACAATGTAATGGTTTGATACACATATATACATACAACAAAATTGTTATCTCTAAGGCAAAAGATTTATGCGGTCTGAAGAGAAACCAGAGCATCAAAATCGTTATCTCAATAAGGCTAGTTGATACATCAATCACCTCATATCATTAAGAGAGTAGATCTTCAATGTTCTCAACACACACACACACACACACACACACACACACACACACACGAGTGATCATTATTTTTTTAAAGGACTCAATGAAGCGGAAAGGACTCTTGCCTGGGAATCACTGGGGTTCAAGTTCAGACTCAGCTTCCTGATAGCAGCATAACCTTGGGGAAACCTCTTGACCTCTCGCTGGGCCTCAGTTTCTTCATCCTAAAATGAGGACTTGGCGCCTGACGATGACAGTGGGCCTTTCTCGCTCTGACATAACTCTAACTTGCTTTAAAACAGTACTCTGAGGAAGGCATAAGGAAAATGCAATGACATGAGCTAACTAAACAAATCATTAAGTTCACTAAAAAGTACTTTGGAAATATTTGACCTTAAGAACTATCCTTCAATGACTTGTTTCCTTTATCCTGGAGAACAGAACAATTTAGAGAGTTTTAAGTTTTCAAGGAGACCAATTTTGGCAAAACTTGAAAAAAAAAGAAAAGCCACGTAGTAAAAGTTGAGATATGCAACAGTGAATTAGGAGATCGTGAATTCACCATCAATATAGGAAAGAAAGTGGGTACCAAGGGTTGTATGTGCAGCCAAACTTCCTCTCAAGGTATAAAAGCTCGAGGCAAATATTCTGAACATAGAGGAACTCAGGAAATGATGCGATCATGAGCCCTTCTTGAGGCAACTACTAGGGGACAAACGCCATCAAACCAAGAGGTGACTGTAGAAATCACTACAAAAGGACTAACTGTGAGCATTGGATGTATTTAACTCAAAAAAAAATCTAAAATAAAATGCAGATCAGGGTAACAGAATAGAGCATAAAAGTATAATATCCGGGAGCACTAAAGCAGCTAACACAAAGTTGGATACAAAAGAAAGAAGTTGTTGCATATACTAAATTAGCTGATTGCTTTATTCTCAATATCTAGGAATACTGGATATTATTTAAACCTGCTAAATCAAGTCATAAAAATATAAGCATATCTAAGAGTAGAAAACAAAGATACTAAGAAAGGTCACGATACTGCCTAACATTAGGTGGCAAAGAATGGGGGGAGAAAGAGGAAAATGTACGCTTATTTTTCTATCACATATAATAAGGAAATATTACATAATTTAAAGATGTAAAAGTTCAAGGTTATTATACAAAGTTACAAACTTCATATATGGGTTATTATATGGACTTACAATTTATAAATTAGAACCAAATTCTAAGCTGAATGCAGCCAAAACAAAGTTATTCGAAAACTTGAAAATGAAAGTGTAATCAAAGGGGTACTAGGAAAATGAAACCTTAAGAAATTAGGATTTATAGTAGTCCCCCTTATCTGCATGTGATATGTTGCAAAACACCCAGTAGATGCCTGAAGCCACAGATAGTTGCTGGAAACCAATTCCAGG